ATTGAAAAAGATGTTATTAGATCAGGTAATTAAACTAAATAATTGTATTAAATGTGAAAATAAAATGAAATAAAACTAAAAATAATATAATATAAAAATTAATAACAATAAAATAATAATGTAAAAGTGCTCTATTGATGGAAGTCAAGTTAAAGCTCATGTGTAGACCTTCAGTGGTAGATAGTGAGTTGGCATCCCTGTAATTAATGTAGGTGGAAGTTCTATTGGCTTTATATAGTTCTAAGGTCTAAATGCCTGTCTCTAAAAGTGTGTTGAGCTTCTTAACTAGTATGATGATTGTAATGTCTTTCCACTTGACCTGTTGTTGGGTAGCATATACTGTTAATGCCATGTCGTAAAGATTCTTATCAATAGTATACTTGTGTTCTTTTAGCCTTTGTTTTATAGTTATAGTTAGCTTTTGCTTTAGTTTTGTTTTATAGCCCCAATGTATTCTAATGTCTTGTTAATTTATTTCATTATTTAAAAAGGTATAAATTATAAATTGAAATTACACCCACACATAATTAAAAAGATGAATTAAAATTTTCTTACTTAAATTTAAAAAAGTAAATTCAGTTTATTGGATTAAGTTTTTTAAGTTTTAGCAATGGCAAAATTCTAGTAATATTTTTTAACTATTATTTATCAAAAAACTGAAGTGCACTTTTTACATTTGCCAAATCATCTAATCTTCATAAATAGAAATAAACTTGTTATTCTGTGTATTTGTTAACTTTTTTACTGTATATTCCTATTCTTCCCTCATTGAATCATTTTTGTTCATTTAATAATGTATATTTCTGTTTATTATATACATGTCATTAAACAAGCACGGTAAACTGACTTGCAAATCACATGCAGCACTGTCATGTTTTCAGCATTTATGATAAAATATTTGTAACATAAGTGTGGAAACTGATAAGGCACCTCCAATTTATTATGTCAAATTTGCCAATCATTTAAATAATTTAATTAAACAAACTATAATCTAATAATTTTCAGTAATAACTATTGCTCTTGTTATAATATGCGATATTAATATCAAACATTAATTATTTTTAATAGTTGTTTTTTAATTTTTGGCCTTAAAAATGAGTTAACTTTTACTTAGATGTTATTTGGAAGGAAAAGATTAATTTATTTAAATTGAATAGTTTAAATAAATATTTCATTAGAAGCAAATGATGAATATTTTTATTTTTAATTTATGAAATGTTAATTTTATAGGAATCATAATGGGCTCAGGAGACATAATTAGTCAAACAATTATAGAGAAAAAGCAATTTAAAAAAATTGAAATGATTAGAGTAGCAAGATTTACATTCCTTGGCACTTTCATGGTTGTAAGTTTTATAACTTATAAATATTATTTAATATAGAAATATTTAATTAAAAATTTTCAATTTAATAAATTTTAACAATTCTACAATTAGGTCTAGTGCAGTGTTTTTCAACCTTCTTGAATATGTGACCCCTTTACAAGTTAAAAAATTCTGGCAAACCCCCCAGGGCCATATTAAAACTATATCAGTGATTTTAAAAACTACTTATTTAATTTTCTTTCTTTAAATATCGATCGAAAAACCAATTGTACTGTAAAATAAACAGGCACAGCCTTCTCACTGAAATTCTAGTTTTTTTTTATTGTAGTGTAACATCTACAAACACTTGTCTTTTTCTTTCACCCATGACCCCCATGTAAGTCTTCGCGACCCCCTGGGGATTGCGATCCGCAGGTTGAAAAACACTGGTCTAGTGTATTTAAACAATATACAAAAATATGGGGTTTTTTTTTATACGCTTATTACAGTTGTACTTACTATATATAATTTTTCAAACTGACAAGTCATAATGCAAAATATATTTAAAAACATTAAAATAACAACTGTATTTTTTCGTCCTTAATCACTAATCCTAATAGTTTATATTATGTCTTTTATAATTATATGATATAAAATTTATTAATGTTTAACCATTTTTAGCTTTTCATTGGCATTACAAATTTATTTTCGTTTTATGACAGATATATCTGGTTCAATGATTATCAAAAATGTTTGTAAATTATAAAAATTACTTTACAATATAATAGATGTTTGGTTCTTATCAGACATAATATAAAAATGTTAATTTTTTTATAATTAATTCATGTAAAAACTCAATTTTCTGACAATAAGAATTGATTATATTGTATAATTGGTTATTGACTTAGTTAAACTTTAAAACTATGATGTAAATAAAGATATTAAAAGTGTGTAATGAAACAATATAAACTAAATTCATTAAACATTCAAGAAAATGCTTAGAAATATACTCTTGAATTTTTTTCAATAAACAATTCCACACAATCATATTAATCATAAAATTACTAAATCAGTTCAAGAAGTCTGATTTAGTAATTTATGGTTAATAAATCCTCAAATATTAATTTTTCATTACTTATATATTTAGTATATCTTAGTGAAGAGAATGAATCATTTGATTTTATTATTTAATATTTTCTAGGGTCCAGTATTGAAAACATGGTATACTGTTTTAGAAAAATTTGTTGGTGTTAAAGGAGCTACTAGTGGATTGAAAAAGATGTTATTAGATCAGGTAATTAAACTAAATAATTGTATTAAATGTGAAAATAAAATGAAATAAAACTCTTGTGTTCACAATAACAAAAATATGAAAATAATTTTTTTTTGAAGGAATAATGCATACTCCCACTTTTTCATCTTCATTCCATGAATCTTTATCATTCTCTGTTACACAAAATTTTTGTGAATTGCAGAGTTTACACTATATATAACACTAGCTGTTACCCACGGCTTTGCCTGCGAGGATTTTTCAAGCAAACCCTATTTATATTCAGTATTTCAACAACCATAGTAATTGTTATATGATGCGAATGATGAGAATTGCCGAGAATCAAACTATTTTCAATTTGATCAATTTTCTGGAACGTTTACAATCGTTCTATACTCGAGCCAATATGCAATAACAAATTCAAATTTAAAACGGTTTGAACATTTTTAAAATCGAAATAGATAAAAATATTTTTATAACAGTGTCTGAAATGTTATCAATTTAATACACCTAAGTACTCAATGAAGACTAAACGTACTTGAAAACAAAAAATCGCATCTAAAATAGTACAGTAGAAGCCGTTCTTCCGGTTAATCCTTAATTCTCTCTCTCTCCTCCCTCAGGGGAATTTCAAAAAATCCTTCTTAGTGTGCATTTTCATGACATACCCTAACTTTGTAGACTGCATCTAAAATAGTACAGTAGAAGCCATTTTTCTGGATAAGCTTTAATGCTCTCCTTCTCCCCCTGCGGGAGAATTTCGAAAAATCCCTTCTTAGTGTGCATTCCCATGGCGTACCCTCTTTTCTGGAATGTTTACAATCATTCTATAATCGAACCAATATGCAATAACAAATTCAAATTTAAAACGGTTTGAACATTTGGTTAAAAAATCAAAATGTATCAAAATATTTATAATAATGTCTGAAATGTTATCAATTTAATACCCGTAAGTACTCAATGAAAAACGTAATTAAAAACAAAAAAAGCATCTAAAATAGTACAGTAGAAGCCGTTCTTCTGCTTAAGCCTTAATCCTCTCCCTCTCCCCCCACGGGTAAATTTCGAAAAATCCCTTCTTAGTGTGCATTCCCATGGCATACCCTACACTAAAATGCAGATAAAAACAAAATTTCGCATCTAAAATAGTACAGTAGAAGCTGTTCTTCTGGTTAAGCCTTAATGCTCTTCCTCTCCCCCGCGGGAGAATTTCGAAAAATCCCTTCTTAGTGCGCGTTTTTATNTACTACACAGTTTTATATATTATTTTCAGTTATTTATTATATTTTTTTCTAAGTATGGTGTGGACACTAACAGCTTTTAAAGTAATGGACTGTCCATACTAAATATGGATGTATGGTAATCCTATTTATAATTGCTTTGAGTAACCATCATCAGGTTAAAAGAATATTTCAGAAACTGAACTTTGTTCTCCATGCTGAACTTTTGATTCTGTGAATGATATTTATATTTGTGATCCAGTTTACTGAGTGTGTATTATACGTAATAAACTTACATAATACACCCAAACTCTAGCACAAAATAGAATGTTTAAAGGGTTGAAATAAATATTTTCAGCAGTCTTAAGCTATCATTATCAGGTTTAAGTCTTTTGAATGTAGAACAAGTTTGTGAAAGAATATTTTTAATTTCACAAAGTAGAACACAATGTACATTGGATTCTCTAAAATTTTAGAGTCTTCAAGTTCTGATTGGTCAGTTGTGCTAACAGCATGTAGGGTTGCGAGAGAAAAAGAACATCAGATCATATTGTAAGTGACAATGTAATTACAGAAAAGTAACATAATAAATGTTCTAAAGTATTCTTTTTTTAAAACTGTAAGAACATTGAATTTGCAAATACAAGTTACAAGTACTTTTCATTAGATTTAATTTTCTTTAATAAATCAGGTTTAAATATCAAATAACTATAGAACTCCCTGCATGACTATTGATGAAAATTGTATTGGGTGATCAGAGATTCAAACTATTCCTGACCTTTCTCCACTGACATTGTATCATAGAAAAATTATTTCAACATTCCCATTATATGAGAGTATTGTGAAAAAGAATTGTGCAATGTTTGTTCTGAAAACATTTCAATATTTCCTGTCTCTTTAAAGTAAATCATCCATTTTTGGTGAGCTAACATTGCCCTGAAGTTTTTACATTCACACTTGTGATAAAAGTCTTCAAATTATAAAACTGATCAAAACATTTTGAATCATCTATGCATACACTCTTCTTTCAAATACATTAAAGATTGTTCAACATTATTCCAAAATAGTGATTCTGTAAACCCCATTTATTTGAAACAATTGAATTCTTCCAAAGGAGTCTGCTTTAGTTGCAGACAGGGTTGGCATGATTTAGAAAAAAAAACATGTTTTAAAACATAGGCATCGGATTTAAAACATTTTTATAAAACAAATGTTTTAAAACATTTAAAACATGGTTTTTTTTTGGAAATAAAACATTTGATCTAGTAAAATAGAAAAAGAAAGTAAAAAAACAAAAACTTCAGTGTATGACTCAAGAATGTACAGAATGTTTTATTTAATATAAAATATAGCATTTTTAAATGTTTCTTTATGCAATGGCATTTTTAATATTTGCATGTACAAATACCAAAACAGGATTGACAGTAGTGGCTTCTGCAGCTTGAAGAATTTCTTATTTTCAGAAATGTACTGTACAATGCTTAGTAGTGTTTGTTTAGGTGCTTGAAAACTTTAACAAGCTTTGCTGTCAATTTCTAAGTTTTAAATGAACATGTCCATAGGTAGAGAAAATTCTTTCAATTCCTGCTGAAGAAACCACTGCTGTGTGCAGCTGTGTAACTAATTTTAAAATAGGTTCAATTCTGTCACATAATGACTGCCACCATGTAAGAGGAGTGATATTAGTTAACACAGACTCTGCAAACATGTGTTGCAGAAATGGGCTAGGTTTTGCCAAGTATTTTAAAACTGAAGGCATAATGTCTGTTTAAAATGTGTAAGTATTTTAAAACAGACTAGCGGTAGTAAGCATGGCAGAGTTAGTGCAGCGTCCTTCATACTCAAGGCCGGATCATTGCATAGACAAATGAGACAAATGTTTAGGGCCCAGTTTTTAGAAGATCCTAGTCAAACCATCTATTTTGAAAAGATTTGTAAATAAGATTCTTCTGGTAATTTAGATTTTTTTTTTACAGTGATTAAATATTTTTTATTAATAAAAAATTAAGGTTTGTTTTAGTTTTTCACATTATTTAGTTTTGGTTTATTTATTGTTTTATATTTTTTGTGTGCTCTATTTCTTGTGGGAGAGGGAGGGGGCCCAGTAAAAAGAAAGTGTCTAGGGCCCTAAAGTGAGTTAATCCGGTCTTGTTCATACTGTCTTTGAGCTTTGTACTCTGGTATATTGGGTCCAGAAAATTTGCTAAAAGGTGATAGTCTGTGATAGCCATATGAAATTGTCTTTGGCTGCTTGCGTGACTCCAGTGATCCCAAGTTGTTGTAAGTCATTTTGAACACTACAAAAATAATGTTATAAAAAAACTTTTGCTGCAAAAGTAATTAATAAAATTTTCATAGATCATAGATAACAATGTATATGTATTAGCCCATACATTTTTGGAAAAGGACTGTTTTTTTCATAATGTTATGGAGATAATTCAGACGAAGAACTAAAGAATATCTATATAGATTCAATTGAGTTATGACCCAGGAAAACTTTATAGCAAGCTATAGAAAATTTTAAAACTTATAATGGTTCAAAATATTACAATTCCTATAGATCAGGAGTCGCCAAACTTTTTTAACCGTCGACCCCCAACCACTTTCCAAAGCCTCACATTGACCCCCACCGTAAAGTTTTATTACAAGTGTATGTGTATGAGCAAAAAAAAAAAAAAAAAAACGTGGACCCCTTAGCCGCATCAACCTCCCAATGATGTTGCATCGACCACTTTGGCGACCCCTGCTGTAGATGGTTATCTTCAATATATTTTTTCATACTAGCGACTAATCCAACCATTTCTTTCCTACATACTGTATTTTGAATTGCATCTGCATTCTGGTTTTCCCGAATTTCCAGAAATTAGTTTGTACTGGTTTCAGATATTATCAAGCCTTCTTCCTGCACTCATTTTTTACTTAACAAGTACCAGTCGACCCCCTATAACACTGTTGATTATTCCATTTTACATGAATTACATGTTGTACGAGTTACTTGGATTTTACAAATACATGAGCCGTTCACAGCCCGACACACGTATTTGTAAAATCTAAGTGACTCATACAACATGGAATTCATATAAAATGTAATAATCAACAGTGTTATAGGGGGTCGACTGTAATGATGATGATGATAATGTCTTTTTCCATCCAAGTAATATTACATTAGCTGTATTGCTAACAGTATTAACTGGCATGTGCTATCAGGAAATCTCCTCTTAGTGATAAAAGTCACATGTCATGTGCTTTCATGACCCATGAGAGTGAGAAAAATTTCCCATTCCCATGCTCACATTTAGCTCACAAGTCAGAAAAAAGTTTATTTACTAAATTTATGTAATGAAACATTCTTTTTTATATTTAAAACAATATTTTATAATGTAATATAAAACTGTTTTAAAACAAAAAAAAACAAAGGTTTCTAAATAAAGCATGTATTATTGTTTTATTTCAAAAAGAACATAAATTTCCCAACCCTGGTTGCAGAAGCTTTACAGTGTTGCAAATGACTAATGGCATGTGTGCCATTAGTCATAATTATTAAATTTAGCATGAGATGGTGCCTAATGCCTGTTTCTAGTGTTTAATTAATAATAGTAGTAGTAATATAGCCTGATATAATCCAGCAATCATTTGGCTTTAATATGTAACTAGCGAGTTTAAGGTGTTTATATTTGTTATATATTAATCATATACTAATAAATGTTTTAAACTTCGATCTTCTTCAGGATGTAAGACCAGCAAATTACAAAGTTATTCACTTATTTAAATATATCCATTGAAATGCTTCAGTTCAGTTCAGTAACAATGAAAATATGTTTATTATAACTCACACTGAATCACAATTTTTCTAATACGTTTGAGCAATCAAGTCCATTATCAGGAGATACAAAAATCTTCTGTACAATGTTATCTGAAAGTACTATAAAAACTGTTACTAAATGTAAGTAAGCTCTAATAAAGCAGATTTTTGTTGTTATTTTAAAAAATTGGAATTGTATTCATTATTTCATCATAATAAATACAGAAACTGGAGGGAATGTCAGAAAATAAATTCACACTTTTAGAAATCAACTCAAGCAAAAAGTTTAATGAAACAAAAGCATTTTCAATCTAATTTGATTAGTTTTCATTAGTTGAGTATTCCAAAATAATCAGAGCCAAACAATTGCCATAATGTATTGAGTTATTTTTCTGCTACTATTAATAATTAAATTATAAGTAATTCCAAAATAGAACATATTTGAATGAAAAGAACATTCAATAAATACCAGTAGAACAGAACAAAATATAAAATTTAAATACAAGAGCAGACAAGATGAGCAGAAAGACAGTGAAAAAATGGAAAAGTGACNAATATAATATAAAAATTAATAACAATAAAATAATAATGTAAAAGTGCTCTATTGATGGAAGTCAAGTTAAAGCTCATGTGTAGACCTTCAGTGGTAGATAGTGAGTTGGCATCCCTGTAATTAATGTAGGTGGAAGTTCTATTGGCTTTATATAGTTCTAAGGTCTAAATGCCTGTCTCTAAAAGTGTGTTGAGCTTCTTAACTAGTATGATGATTGTAATGTCTTTCCACTTGACCTGTTGTTGGGTAGCATATACTGTTAATGCCATGTCGTAAAGATTCTTATCAATAGTATACTTGTGTTCTTTTAGCCTTTGTTTTATAGTTATAGTTAGCTTTTGCTTTAGTTTTGTTTTATAGCCCCAATGTATTCTAATGTCTTGTTAATTTATTTCATTATTTAAAAAGGTATAAATTATAAATTGAAATTACACCCACACATAATTAAAAAGATGAATTAAAATTTTCTTACTTAAATTTAAAAAAGTAAATTCAGTTTATTGGATTAAGTTTTTTAAGTTTTAGCAATGGCAAAATTCTAGTAATATTTTTTAACTATTATTTATCAAAAAACTGAAGTGCACTTTTTACATTTGCCAAATCATCTAATCTTCATAAATAGAAATAAACTTGTTATTCTGTGTATTTGTTAACTTTTTTACTGTATATTCCTATTCTTCCCTCATTGAATCATTTTTGTTCATTTAATAATGTATATTTCTGTTTATTATATACATGTCATTAAACAAGCACGGTCAAACTGACTTGCAAATCACATGCAGCACTGTCATGTTTTCAGCATTTATGATAAAATATTTGTAACATAAGTATGGAAACTGATAAGGCACCTCCAATTTATTATGTCAAATTTGCCAATCATTTAAATAATTTAATTAAACAAACTATAATCTAATAATTTTCAGTAATAACTATTGCTCTTGTTATAATATGCGATATTAATATCAAACATTAATTATTTTTAATAGTTGTTTTTTAATTTTTGGCCTTAAAAATGAGTTAACTTTTACTTAGATGTTATTTGGAAGGAAAAGATTAATTTATTTAAATTGAATAGTTTAAATAAATATTTCATTAGAAGCAAATGATGAATATTTTTATTTTTAATTTATGAAATGTTAATTTTATAGGAATCATAATGGGCTCAGGAGACATAATTAGTCAAACAATTATAGAGAAAAAGCAATTTAAAAAAATTGAAATGATTAGAGTAGCAAGATTTACATTCCTTGGCACTTTCATGGTTGTAAGTTTTATAACTTATAAATATTATTTAATATAGAAATATTTAATTAAAAATTTTCAATTTAATAAATTTTAACAATTCTACAATTAGGTCTAGTGCAGTGTTTTTCAACCTTCTTGAATATGTGACCCCTTTACAAGTTAAAAAATTCTGGCAAACCCCCCAGGGCCATATTAAAACTATATCAGTGATTTTAAAAACTACTTATTTAATTTTCTTTCTTTAAATATCGATCGAAAAACCAATTGTACTGTAAAATAAACAGGCACAGCCTTCTCACTGAAATTCTAGTTTTTTTTTATTGTAGTGTAACATCTACAAACACTTGTCTTTTTCTTTCACCCATGACCCCCATGTAAGTCTTCGCGACCCCCTGGGGATTGCGATCCGCAGGTTGAAAAACACTGGTCTAGTGTATTTAAACAATATACAAAAATATGGGGTTTTTTTTTATACGCTTATTACAGTTGTACTTACTATATATAATTTTTCAAACTGACAAGTCATAATGCAAAATATATTTAAAAACATTAAAATAACAACTGTATTTTTTCGTCCTTAATCACTAATCCTAATAGTTTATATTATGTCTTTTATAATTATATGATATAAAATTTATTAATGTTTAACCATTTTTAGCTTTTCATTGGCATTACAAATTTATTTTCGTTTTATGACAGATATATCTGGTTCAATGATTATCAAAAATGTTTGTAAATTATAAAAATTACTTTACAATATAATAGATGTTTGGTTCTTATCAGACATAATATAAAAATGTTAATTTTTTTATAATTAATTCATGTAAAAACTCAATTTTCTGACAATAAGAATTGATTATATTGTATAATTGGTTATTGACTTAGTTAAACTTTAAAACTATGATGTAAATAAAGATATTAAAAGTGTGTAATGAAACAATATAAACTAAATTCATTAAACATTCAAGAAAATGCTTAGAAATATACTCTTGAATTTTTTTCAATAAACAATTCCACACAATCATATTAATCATAAAATTACTAAATCAGTTCAAGAAGTCTGATTTAGTAATTTATGGTTAATAAATCCTCAAATATTAATTTTTCATTACTTATATATTTAGTATATCTTAGTGAAGAGAATGAATCATTTGATTTTATTATTTAATATTTTCTAGGGTCCAGTATTGAAAACATGGTATACTGTTTTAGAAAAATTTGTTGGTGTTAAAGGAGCTACTAGTGGATTGAAAAAGATGTTATTAGATCAGGTAATTAAACTAAATAATTGTATTAAATGTGAAAATAAAATGAAATAAAACTCTTGTGTTCACAATAACAAAAATATGAAAATAATTTTTTTTTGAAGGAATAATGCATACTCCCACTTTTTCATCTTCATTCCATGAATCTTTATCATTCTCTGTTACACAAAATTTTTGTGAATTACAGAGTTTACACTATATATAACACTAGCTGTTACCCACGGCTTTGCCTGCGAGGATTTTTCAAGCAAACCCTATTTATATTCAGTATTTCAACAACCATAGTAATTGTTATATGATGCGAATGATGAGAATTGCCGAGAATCAAACTATTTTCAATTTGATCAATTTTCTGGAACGTTTACAATCGTTCTATACTCGAGCCAATATGCAATAACAAATTCAAATTTAAAACGGTTTGAACATTTTTAAAATCGAAATAGATAAAAATATTTTTATAACAGTGTCTGAAATGTTATCAATTTAATACACCTAAGTACTCAATGAAGACTAAATCCCATTTTGATAAACTT